GAACCCGGGGCCTTGGTGTTATCAGCACCGCACTCTACCGAGTGAGCCACGGGCCGGCCCGAAAACAGGTTCTTTAACACTTTGTACGAACATCTCACAAACTGCTGCTCCTAGATTACAAAATGTCAAAGCCAATTTTCTTTGACACTAGGCCCTTGAATCTGACATTCAAGTCACCAAATAGAAACCGAAGCTGTTCATGGCTGTACCTTACATTCTGGAAGGTGCCTCAACAAAAGCATGTTAAAGACTTTAAAACTTCTAGCATTTAAAAAGATCCATCTTCCCTTCCAATGTCTATGAATGATAAAGTAGAATCCCAGAGATCTCCTGTTGATACTGAGCTTGAGAAGACAAAGCTTAATAATTCCAAACTCCAGCCTTTAAATGTCTCTATGGAGACTCACAGAGATGACCTCTCCCCTTCCTCTCCTCTCCAGTGGGCTTTCTCAAGTACAGATGCATATCTTCCTGGCACCCAGGCAATGACTACTCAAACGATCTCAATAGTCTCATCATTAGGCTTGTCCAAAGGGCTTTTAGAGAGAGATGCAGCTTTAATTTAGTCCTTAGAAAAGTTTTTTTTGTAATAATAATTAAAAAAAAGGTGGGGGACTATGCTAAGAAATAACAAGAAAAAGAAGTACCTTTTATAAAAAGGACTTTCAAGCTCTCTGAGCCCACAATTTAACTGAAATAACTTTACTGAAGTGTCTTCACGTAAAACACTTAGCACCTTGCCCCCAGCAGCCGAATGGAGGGGATCTGTGTACACTGAGCGTCACTTAAAAGTGCCCTCATTTAAGCCAAATCCACATTCCTCCAGGCTACATCCTGCAGAATTAGCTGTAGGTGAAACAGTAAAGGTCCCGCCGGACAGCCATGAGCAGCCCTGGCGCTCCCCGGAAGCCCCCAAGACGAGAGGAGAAGGCCACACTGGGAATGTCAGCCTTGGAGGCGGGGTATGGGGAGGGTATGGTTCTTAGTAGGTGGCCATCGTGGAGGCTCCAGATTCTTGTGTAGCAGTCCTGGCCCACTAAGAAAGAGGGAACACATGGCAGGTTAGCAAGAGAAGCAAAGGAAAACTTACACACACGTGGACAAGGCTTCTCATGATTCCTTAGGGATAAATGTGATTTCATGTGAGCCAAACATAGACTCATTAATAGAAAGTATTCCTACTGATAATATGTACTTTCTGAACATCAAAATTATGAGTCACCTTGGTGCTCTAGAACCATAACAGGTACTGAAAATGACAAGATGCACTGGTTGGTTGTGACACCATGGGTGGCTCAGCAGACATCCTGGCTGATGGGTGGGGATTCTGCTTCTCTTAGTGTCAAGAGCTGTTCAAGTGGGAGCCCAGCCTACAAGGTCTAGATGACAGGCAAACCACTTCCATTTTATGAAATAATAACCGGGAAGATCTCTCAACTTTATTACATCCTGGTGACAAACCAGGAGAAACTCTCCTCAGAACTCTTTCTGGTTTAATGGTTTAGTTCATGAGGCCAGTCAAAGGCTCTGGGCTCCCAGTTCTGAGGATGTGGCACATAATACCGTGGGTTATGGTAGCCCAGGCACATGATATATGCTACTGGGGATCTTCAGCAGGAGCAGGATGGCAGGCCTTAGGCAGTTGTGGATTCCACATTTGTGCTGTGACCGCCCAAGTGACTCTTCAGACCACAGGTGCTACCTTGGCTGAGGATGAATTCAGGTTGCAGTTTATTATTGCAGTTGGCTGACTACCCACATGTGCCTCTCCATTATACAGCACACAAACTCTTTTGAGATGAAAACTTGTGGAAAACAACTTAAAAAGGAAGCTAAGTGCTGGTATTGATGAGTACTAAATACGTCAAAGAAAGTTCTAACAAACTGATGTTTCTTAGCCACAAAAAAGTTGTATGGGGAATAAATACTTTTGGTAGAAACATTAGCAAATTTGAGGACTCATGAAGACTGAGAACATATTCAAAGGCCTACTATTTCATAGGTAAAAACATGTATCTTTCACACTACCAGATTATTCTACAGCCCAGAAACAGTGTAAACTGTAATCAATTTGTAACTCAAGGAGGTTTAGTGGCTAGACAGCTGCTCCTATTCTACAGATCACAGATCCACAGGCAAGGTTGTTAAAGGGATCAGGAATCAGTTACTTTACGATGACCGTAATTTCTTTTCTCAGATCCTCTAGTGGAAATGTGAGCAGAAAAAACAGAGAACCCAAGTTTTTAGACAAAACAGTCACATGATGGGATAACACTGACCTGATGAATAGACTCAAACCCCAAACCCAGGTCCCCAAGCTCCTATGTTTTATTTCCCCTCACCTGCCTGTCTCTGCAATGTTTGTCCACTGACATGGGGACAAAGGGCTGTCCAAGTAGTGTGTTATTTACTAATATCCAACTCTACTTCCCTTCTAGTCTCCCCACCTAACTTTACTCCACATTCCCCTTTACTCAATCCTACTTTTAAGTAACATCTCCTGCTGCTGCTGAAGTTGCTGGGACTTTAAGATAGTATTGGATGGGATGAAATCTCCACTCCCCCAAGTACCTGCCACCAGGATTCCTTCTTCCTCGTGCACGTGCAGGGGCAGGTAGGCGTACTCATTTACATGACCTTCGTATTGCCTTATACACTTAGTGGCCCTCAGGTCCCACAGCTTGATCTGTGGGAAGAAGCACAAAGGGCCTAAGGGAGTGTCTGGCAGGTACACTGGTGAACAGGTGTAAAGCCAGGGAGGAGGAGGAGGTCTCCAGTGGCCTCTTCAAGTTATGAAGATCTACATCTTGAACTCCTGAGCCCTAGAATCCATCAAAAGCAAATAACCAGAGAATTCTTTTCACTTCTGTCTAGGCCAGATTAGGATCAAAGCAACCCCCCTGGATGGCCTATAACTTGCTTGGTTGCCAGCTGCCTCCTCCCTGTCTGGTGTCTCTGTACGAGGGCCTGGGTCTTATCTGCAGAAACCCTTCACCTGGCAGGGCTCTGGGCCACCAGCTCCTGTGACTTGAGAAAGCCAGTGTGCCCCTACCTTTCCAGCCATGTCTGACGCCATCAAGCATTTCTCTGTATGGAGGATTTGTATGGAGGTCACTGCTGAATCGTGGAACAGGCGACTGGCCTTCCAGCCCTCGCCTTGATTTGGACAACGCAGATCAATGGCAAAGATCTCCCCAGAACGACAGCCATTATACAGCAAAGGAGCCTGTGGAAAGAGGGACTACTCAGTGCCCAACTCTTACTAACTCCCTCTAAAGCTGGGAAGGCTGTGGCCTCCCGAATATAGGCCCTGGGTCAGTGAGGGTGGAGATGGGTCAATCACGATTTGGGTGTCAATGGAGTTGGAAGGGAGAATGAGTCCTTGTGAGGGGTTAAAAGCCTGGACCCCATGTATCCTCCAGCATTCTCCTTGCAGGGGGCACACAGGCCCTAGGTGGCGGTCCCACTGGCTGCACTGCCCCCTTAGGTCTCTCTCTGAAGCCCCTGTGACAGTGCACTGTCTCTGCCAAGGCCTCTGGTGAGAAGCTGGGGTGATAAGCATTAAGTAGAGGAGACTAGAGATCCAGCTAATTAGGATTCAGGGGTCCTCATCAGAGGGGAAAGAGGACTAAAGAAGGTGAAGATGGCCCAGATGAACTCTACGCTTACTGCCAAAAGCAGGTCAGCAGACTCCCTTCTCCATGCTCCTAAAGAAGGATGGTATTTTCCACAAGGTAAGTCTTAGAAATATAGTAATGACTAGAATTTTTTTTTTTTTTTTTTAAGATGACCGGTAAGGGGATCTTAACCCTTGACTTGGTGTTGTCAGCACCACGCTCAGCCAGTGAGCGAACCGGCCATCTGTATATGGGATCCGAACCCGGGGCCTTGGTGTTATCAGCACCGCACTCTCCCGAGTGAGCAACGGGCCCGCCCGATGACTAGAAGTTTGATTTATAAATATGTAAAATGTACAACTTGAAAGCTGTGTATAAAACTAATAAATGCCGTGAATTGGTACTTAATGTATACATTTTAAAAATAATTTGTCCTGCTGGCTAATCCAAGTACTCAAGAGTTGCTAACAATTCATTTACATGTGAAACTGCTTAAAGCCAGCCTAGGCAGGCCTCTCTGGATCAGCCAACTTTCACTGAGTTCAGACATATTCAGAAAGTAATCCATTAATCTTTTCCAATGCTCTTTTTCCCCTGTAAAACTGGGAGCACTGATGCCACACAGGGGAATCTCATTTCAATCCAGAAAAATTTCTACTCTGGGGAAACTTTCTATTACGCCCTTTCCAATCCAACCAACCAACCAAGAGAGCAAACTGCTGGGCCAAGACATCGCTGCTGGTCCCAAAGGACTGCCGGTGTCCCGTCACCACGTTGGTCAGCAGGACCCGCTGAGACAAGCCTGGTGGAGACAGAGAGGGGCCAGTGAGACAAGTGTCACTTGCAGTTTGGGAGAGGGACTGCTGGATGGGATTTTCAGGCCTGTTAAATACTGTTCTCTGGGCACTTGGAGGCAGCCACGGCTCACCTGTACTGAAGCAGTTATTTGCCTGGATGTTCAGGGACCATGCACAGGACCAGGCACCAGGGATCCGGAAACTGCAGAGCACGCCAGGCCGGTCTCTGACTGCTGTGGGGATCAGAGAAAGTAGAACATGACTGGCCTCTAGGATGTAGATTTTCCCTCCACGCTGCCAGGCCAGTCAGAGGGTTTATAGCTTCGCCCCATTCTGGGTTTCATGGTAGCAAGAGAGACAGTCAGCTGGGGTGCCTGGCTCAGAAGTAGTTATTCTGAGAGTGTCTGTATGTTGCATCCACAGGAGCAGTGTTAGCAGTACTAACAGCTGGCAGGGAGGCAGAATGATGTCAGACAAGATGGTTTTAATCCCAGATCACACCCCAGCTGTATAATCTCATGCAAAAAAAAAAAAAAGTATATATTTTTAAAGATGACCAGTAAGGGGCTCTTAACCCTTGATCTGGTGTTGTCAGCACCACGCTCTCCGAAGGGAGCTAACTGGCCATCCCTATATGGGATCCGAACCCGTGGCCTTGGTGTTATCAGCACCACACTCTCCCAAGTGAGCTACAGCCAGCACCTAAAATATTTCTTAAACTTTTGTATTGACAGAACATACATAAAGAAAATAAACTGTAAGGATGCAGTTCAATGAATTATCACAAAGTAAGTATAGCCAAGTACCCACCATCCAGGCTAAGAAATAAAACATTCTAGTACCCCAGAAGCCTCCCTCATGCCCCTTTCCCAATTACAACCCATCCCAACTCCTCCCCAAAGAAAACCACTAGAAGGCAGATTCTGAACCTCTCTTTGCCTCAGTTTCCTCATCTGTAAAATGATGGTTAGCCACACTCTTGCCCCATAAGCTTGCTGCTATACAATGAAATGCCAGGCAATGGGCTAAGTGTACATCACCTCATCTAATTCTCTGTGGAACTTGATGGGGTAGGCACTGTCTTCACCTTGCACTGGGCTAAGTGTAGTACATCACCTCATCTAATTCTCTGTGGAACTTGATGGGGTAGGCACTGTCTTCACCTTGCAGAGGTTAAGCAATCTGTTCAAGTTGGTACAAGGAGAGCTGGGATTTGTGCCAGTTCTGCCTGAATCCTGCACTCTTGAAGGCCTGACCCTTTTCTTGTCTTATTGATCCTAATTCTCTGAAAGACTAAAAACTTAATATTCACAGTGCTGCCAGGAAGGAGCAAACTGCTTTTAGCCAGAGAGAATGTAATTATCCCTGATAGCACCTGTCATACAGTAGGACCTTAATAAATGTTTTCCAAATGATCTGTACAGATGGCCCAAATCAATGGTTGATCTCTCACACACTTTAACTCTGCTCTGGCTGCTGAAATGACCCACAAAGGGTAAAATGGAGGACACTATACAAGTGCACATTCTTCCAGCACTAATCCTGGGAGGGGATTCAGGAATCCTCCCACAGTGTTTCTGCATAGCATCCCCACCCAAAAAGCCTGTGCTTCCCACACCTCCTCTCCACCCCACCCCATGCAGCTGCTGGGAGGCAGAAGTCAGAGACCACCCTCAGAGCACTGACTTACCCAAAGGATAAGGACCCCTTACCTGGGTGACTAGTGACGAACAGCGATGCTGGGAGCAGAGTGGCGCAGCCTGGAGAATCTGCGAATCCCATGAGGCACAGCCTGGAGAAAGCCGTTAAGGACAGTCAAGTACAAGGCTCTCCTTTGTGAGCAAGAATGGGCATTAGTATCCTTCAAAAAAATCACACAACACACAAAGTAGGACAGAGAATAGCACCCATTACCTAGATTTCACACATACACACTTGCCATCTATACCCTCCTATTTTTTCAAGGAAAAAAATGCCATATATACAGTTAAAAGCCCTTTCTGACCCCTCCTGTATTAGTCCATTTATGTTGCTTATCACAAAATACACTGAACTGGGTGATTTATAAAGAAAATGAAATTTATTGCTTACAGTTTCTGAGGCTGGGAAGTCCAAAGTCCATCTCTGGTGGTGGTGACAGTGACCCAGGCGTCTCACATTGCAAGATGGTTGAAGCAGAGAGAGCAGAGAGACAGACTCTCCTCTTCTTTTAAAGCCCTCAGAACCATGCCCTGAGCACCATTTTTTTTTTTCCTTTTTGTCTTTTTTTGTGACCGGCAACGGATCGCAACCCTCAGTGTCGCGCCCATACTGGACCAGGACCGGCCACGGGATCGCAACCCTCGGTGTTGCCCCCGCCCCTCGCTCAGCCAGTGAGCGGCACTATAGCAGTGCACCACCGGGCTGGCCCCGCACCATTTTTAATCCAATCACCTCTTCAAGGCTCCACCTTTCAATTACCATAATAGGACTTCCTACCCTCTTAACAGTCACAGTGGGGGCTAAGATTCTAATATATAAAACTTGGGGGATACAATTCAAGCTCTGGGAGTTTTGGGGGGACATAATTCAATCCACTACACCTCCCTAGTCCAATGCTCCCCTCTCCCTCACCCAGAAAGAACTGCTCTTCTTAAACAGGTATAAGTTTTTCTAGGCCATGTTATAATACTTCCACTACAAATGATGTTTGTCAAAAAAAAAAAAAAAAAAAAAAAAGGTTTTAAAAAA